TCACAGATCCCCTGCTGATAGGAGCAGAATGGCTGGATGACACAACTGCGTCCGCTCAGTTTCTGTAGACACAGCCCGCTCTGCACTAGGGGTGGCCAGGAATAAATGGACTTTGCTGTCCGATTACACCCAACTACCTTTGCTCTGATCCACTTAAATGGAAGAGGATGGATCCCCTTCTATTTTTTTTTTAGCAGACTGGATTGGACACAAGTCCCTTTACACCTACCTGTCCATAGGAATGCATGGACCTTCCAATCAGGTTTGCCTGAAAAACCAGCAGGCAGACCCGATAAAATTAGTGGAAACAGATACAAAACCTCCTGCACTCAGAGACCCAGATCAGAATTCAGCGGGTAGAACCATATATAAAAGTTCATCTAATGGCCAATCAAACGTTGTGCAGCTTAAAACACAAGGCTGGGGAAACCCAATAGAAACTGTAACGGAGAACAAAAATAAAAGCGCACCAACCTTGTGCATTAACTCAGTAAGTAAACGGTGAATTTATTAAATTGAGATATATACTCACAAAAATGTTGTTAAAAGCATATAAAATCCAACATCAGCGTACTGGAATAGCAGACAGGTGCGGGTCCCATCGAGAGGGGAGACTCTCAGATTGAAGCTGATCTGATTCAAAGGGGGATCCCTTCTTCAAAACGCATCAGTTTATTCTGAGAGTCTCCCCTCTCGATGGGACCCGCACCTGTCTGCTATTCCAGTACGCTGATGTTGGATTTTAAATGCTTTTACCAATGCTACTTTTGTGAGTATATATCTCAATTTAATAAATTCACCCTTTACTTACTGAGGTAATGCGCAAGGTTGGTACACTTTTGTTTTTGTTCTCTGTTACAGACCTGATCAAATTGCCTGTGCAAGGGGCTGCTCCAGTCTGGTCACATGATCACCCCTGTGTTAGCCAGCAACGGAGCAGGGGTGAAGAGACAACACTCGACTTTTGAAAATCAAAGGTAGAAGCTGATTGGTAAATTTTTGTTTTTTTCATTAATTCTATTCAGAGTTAGGTGAACTGTATGGATTAATTCAATTTCCAGCATGTCACATGTCATTCAAATATTACTGCAGCGTCTTGGGGTTCTTTGCTCTGGTCTGCAAAAGAGCCAATGTACACTGTGAAGGTAATTATAATTATTATTATACAGGATTTATATAGCGCCAACAGTTTGCTCAGCGCTTTACAATATAAAGGGAGACCATACAGCAACAATACAAGAGGGATAGGAGGGCCCTGATCCTTGGAGCTTACAATCTAGGTTATGTTACCGATCACAGAAAAAAATTATAAAAACACTCATTCCCACTATAAAAAAGTAAAAAACATAATAAAACAACCCTTGATTTTATTTCCGTACAATCTGGATAAAGAAATGAATTACACTGTTCTCAGCCACTTCACTAGATCCTCCCAGGGCATGTGGGGTGGCTCAATGATTGTGACTGACAGTGAAGTACTTCCTATTTGCTCCCATTTATCTGGTCCTTAAGGCAGAAATTATGTTATCTGCATCAGTAAACAGGGGAGAAGCACACCTCTGTCAATCGTGAATCTTGAGCCACTCTACATGATGTGCAGGAGAGTCAAAAGGGGGCAGATTGAGAGAGGAAGATCCTGGCTTCCTGATACCGAACTTGGAGCATGCAGACAGAGAGCGACAGTGGAAACTGCCTACAACAGGAACAACCACCTGCATCAGCATTGCCCCCTTGTATGGGGGACTCTAGTTTGCTGGTAGGATCACCTGGTAATTACGAACTAATAATACACTTTGAACAATAGCAACAGTCAAATGAAATACTTTTAAGGTTCCATTTACACATGAGCGTTTTGTAGCTTGAAGCTCCAAAAATGCTCAAACTTAAAAAAATCAATTGTTTTCAATAAAGTGTGAACAGGCACCATAGAATACAACTGATTTTTTTTTAATTGGAGCTTTTTAGGAGCTTTGAGTTTCAAGCTACAAAACACGTGTGACTGCAGCCTTAAAGCTTAAAGCAATTCTAAAGGTTAATTTTTGAGGGGAAAATACACATGGCTATACTTACCTGCTGTGTGCAGTGGTTTTGCACAGAGCAGCCTGGATCCTCCTCTTCTTGGGTCCCCCACAGGCTCTCCTGGCTCCTCCTGTCTGTTGGGTGCCACCACAGCAAGCAGCTTGCTATGGGGGCACTCACTGCTCCAAGTGTCCATTCTCACACAGAGCTGTGGCCTGGTCCCGCCCCCTCTCTCTCCTCATTGGCTGCCTGGCTGTGATTGACAGCAGGGGGAGCCAATGGCTCTTGCTTGCTGGCTCAGCCAATGAGAAGGCAGAGACACGGGACACCCAAAGCTGTTGTAAACATCGTTGGATCGCGATGGGGCTCAGGTAAGTATTGAGGGAGCTGGGGGCAGTGCTGCACACCGAAGGGTTTTTTTTAGTTAAAAACACTTTAACACATTCTATGTGATTCCTCTAGAATACCATAAACTACAAATTAATCTTCTATTTTATACTGTGTGATTATAATAGCAGTACATACCATAACATAGCAGGGCGAGGAGTGTATAAAGGGAGTTGGAAAATCTCTGTCAGTTTGTTTGCTGCTCGTTGAGAGATTTCAATTAACTTTCTGTCTCAGAAACACTACAGAAAGTGATAAGAAATCTCTCTAAAGTGAGAATTCCTCTCATAGAGAGTTAAAAAAGATGTCCCATTGGAAGAGTCACCAGGAAGAACAGCCTTTGTTCACATGGGCTTCGGCTTATAAAACAGTGTGGACAGCAAACTTTTATAAAACATTTGGCAGGCTTTGGGCAGCTCTACTGAAGCTTTAAAAAAAAACAAAAAAAAAAAAAAAAAAAAACGCGCTTCAGCGACAGTTTAGGGAGGTTAAGCACAGATCTTAATGAGAGTACCGACTGTCACTTTAAACAAGATGCTAGCAGGTCTCAGTAGCACTTGAAACTTGCTAAAAGTCTCCAGAAGCCAGCAAGTTTAAAGTGACAGTTGATACTCCCAGTAAAGTCTCACCTTTATTTTTATTACTGTGTTCTGCTCCCATAGGGAAAAAGTACATGTGTAGTGTGATCCCATCTGCCAAGGTTTGAAGTGAGGTCGGACAGGGCACTCCTCCGCCCTACATGGTGTCAGACAAAACAGCTAGCAAGGAGACAACTGCTTTAACAAACTACAATATTTTCTTCAAGCACTTGCCTGAGGCAAGCATCTCATGAAGAAAGCAGGGGGAATGGGGCTTGTCAGCTAAAATGCTCCAGGCAAGCGGCTAAGGAATTGGCGATGAAGAAAGGTGCCTTTTGCCACCCTTTAAGAGAAGGAAACCCAGTCACATGACCTATCTCAGTCTTTGACATAGACGTAGCAGTAAACACTTCAATGTCTAGAGAAGACTTCATGAAGCACCCATCCAGCAGTGAATGCCATAAAAAATAATTATTGGTGAGGTCCAACATACTCTTTCCAGCCTTCCATTTCTGAGGTACTAGACCAAATACCTTGGAAGATAACTTGACTTGGAGACACCATGTTGCTTTACATTTTTCATTTTAAATCTTATAAAAATAAAAGGAACAAAAAGGCAGTATTAATTAGTGATGGCTAGGTGGATTGGAGCCAAGGGTGAGCCACAGGATTGGATCAGGCAAAATGCTGGCCTTTTCATTAAGTTCTTATACGCATATTTGATGAACCTGTTGACCTTTACAGATCATTATTTACTCACAAATATAAGAACGCATAATAAAATCTAAATTGACTGTAATACTGAGGATATGAATCATTAGGACAACACAATTCCACACACAAGAATGTTTTGGACATGTTGGGGATAAGCTCAGTTTCCATAACTGTACCATCTACTCCTCATAGAACACTATGGATTTGTGTTCTAAGCTGTAACAAACATAGATTAAGGCTTGGTTCAAATATGCGCGGGTGGTGCCACTGTGGATCCGCACGTAAATCTGTGCAGCCGCACCACCCGCACAGAGAAATGCGGACCCACGGGTGGGTGCCATTAGTTCTAATGGCAGGCTGCCCGCACTGGAAAACACAACCATACTGGGAACCGAGGCTGCGTTTTCAGAAGAAGTGCAGGGACTTATTCTCTGCGTCTCACGGGCCACGGGAGTCCATTCAAATGAATGGGCTCTCGTGCCCATGCAAAACACGACCCGCACGGCTGCATATATGAACCAGGGCTTATAGTATGAAACAGGAGATCTAAAAAAGAATTATGTTTTTTTTTTTTTTTTTACACATTTCTAAAATGCTACCAAAACTTCCAACAAAGAGTTAAGTGTGAACAATTTCACAGTTGATGAGTGTATATAAAGCCACCGGGAAGCACCACAATTCCCTGAGCTGAAACTACGATACTTCGTAAACCATATGAAAGCTTATTTTACATCACACTGGTACAACGATACAATACTACTAATCATAATGTACACCTAAACATTTAAACAGTATTGTAATTTGGGATCATCTTTTTTGGGGGGATTTTAAAGTATATTTACACCTTGCAACCAAATTGGGATAACATCTACTTTATATTTGTCACATTTCCATGTTCATAGCTTAATCACAAGCCTACAGGGCACTTATACCCCCTTCCTGCCCAGGCCAATTTCCAGCTTTCAGCGCTGTTGCACTTTGAATGACAATTGCGCGGTCATGGAACACTGTACCCAAATTAATTTTTTATCTTTTTTTTTTGTGACAGATAGAGCTTTATTTTGGTGGTATTTAATCAACTCTGGTTTTTTTTATTTTTCCTAAACAAACCAAAAACCACTGAAAATTTTGAAAAAAAAAAATTTTTTTCTTAGTTTTTGTTAAAAATTTTTGTAAAGAAGTGATTTTTCTCCTTTACTGATGTGCGCTAATGAGGCTGCAGTGATGGGTACTGATAGGCTGCACTGATGGACACTAATAGGTGGCACTGATGGGCACTGATGAGGAGGCACTGGTAGGTGGCACAGATGGGCATTGACAGGCATCACTGATGGACACTGAAATGCAGCACTGATATATGGCACTGACTGGCACTGTTGGCGGCACTGATAGGTGGCACTGACGGGTGACACTGAAAGGCAGCTCAGACGGGCACTGATATGTGGCATTGATGTGCACTGGTAGGTACTGATATGTGGCATTGATGAGCACTGACAGCTGGCACTGCTGGGGCTACACTGATCATCAGGGCACACTGATCATCACTGCCCTGATGATCAGTGTACATGTCCCCTCTGCGGAATGCCGATTACCGACTCTCCTCTCGAGCGGTCAGTGTGACAGCTCGTGAGGAGAGAAATGCTGATAACCGGCATTTCCCTGTTTATATGTGATCAGCTGTGATTGGATACAGCTGATCACATGACCGAGCTGACATCTTTGGCTCTTTCCGTGGATCGGTAATCCGCTGTGTCCGAGGGACACAGCGCACCGCCAGTAGCTGCGCTGCGCGCTCCGGGAGCCACGCATGCACAGTTAGAATGGGAGGACGTCATATGACGTCCTCCCAGAACGAGAGAACCACCTTGTGTCTGTCATATTACTATATGGCGGACGGGAGGTGGTTAAAGCAGAACTTCACCCAAAAGGTCACTCCCCCCCCACCTTCTTCACCCAATGCCTTCTGGGACACATCACAGGTCCCAGAGGACTGTGGGGCCAATTAAAAAACTCAGCGCAGTGGCTTCATAGTCGATTACCCTTAGTTAAGATGCCTGGACCCAAAACCCATTGAAGAATTGGCTCGGGTGAGAACAGAGCTGGAACCCTGGACAGGCAAGTGTCCTTATATTAAATGTCAGCAGCTACTTGTAAGTGCTTTTAACTTTTTTGGGAAGACTGGAGCTCCTCTTTAAAGATTTTTAAAAAATGACTGCTTACATGTTTTCTTGAAAAACCAAAGTTTTTTCTTGCTATGTAATAAGGGAGGGTCGGGAGTTAATGTTTATCATAAATAGCCCTGTGTGTACTGTGTTGGTAGATCTCATTATCAACAGTAAGCTGGATTTAACACTAGGGGGAGATTTACTAAAACTGGTGCGTGTAAAGTCTCTGCAGAGAAACCAATAATGTTCCAGGTTTTATTGTCAAAGCTTAATTGAACAAGCTGAAGTTAGAAGCTGATTGGTTACTATGCACAGCTGCACCAGATTCTGAGTGCACCAGTTTTAGTAACTCAACCCCTATCTGCCCTAACAAAGGACACCTCATGGCTTTGGATCTGCATTGTATGATAATGAGAAAAACCCAACCTATCCCCATTTTTCCCATCCACATTCATATTGAAATTTCTTCACAGTAGCTTGCACTCTACTTAAAGGCCTGCTCCAAAGAAACAAATGGAAAACAGAAGAAAAATAATTTTATTATTATTTTTAGGTATGCCGTGTGAATGGAAGCACAGCAAATTTATAGTATAGTGGGATTCTATTAAACTTTTTTCTTGTAGACTTCACTTCCGCAACATCTCCAAGATACGCAACTTAAGCAACTTACAGGATAAGCAACTTACTCACTCCCTGGTTATCTCTCGCCTTGACTATTGTAACTCCATCCTCATTGGTCTACCTCATCGCAGGCTATCCCCTCTTCAGTCTATCATGAATGCTGCTGCCAGACTCATCCACCTTGCTAACCGTTCTGTATCTGCCACCCCTCTCTGCTAATGCCTCCACTGGTTTCCAATTGCCCAATGAATAAAATTCAAAACATTAACAATAACGTATAAAACCATTTATAACTCTGCCCCAAATTAGATCACCAATCTTCTCTCCAAATATCACCCAAACCGTACTCTCCACTCCTCGTATGACCTCTTGCTCTCTAGCTCCCTTGTCTCCTCCCAAGTCCAGGACTTCTCCAGAGCCTCCCCCATCCTCTGGAAGTCTCTACACCAATCTATCAGACTATCACCTACTCTGCCCACTTTTAGGCGATCTCTGAAAACCGCTCTCTTCAGGGAAGCCTATCCTGCCTTCAGCTGACGGAATTTTCTATTCTCCTACCAGTCCATCCCCCACAGTTATCTTTTTTTACCACCAGCCCCTCCCTCTTAAATTGTAAGCTCCAAGGAGCCGGGCCCTCCCAACTCTCTTGTATTGAACTGTATTGTTGCTGTATTGTCTCCCTTTATATTGTAAAGCGCTGAGCAAACTGTTGGCGCTATATAAATCCTGTATGATAGTAATAATTGCTTGGTTCCCTATTATATTCAGTGTCTCAGCTCCATTCTTTTCTGTCATCTGTTCAGCATCAGCCAACCTTCGACACTTCCATTATCCTTACCCATCTTCCCTGCTATAGATCCATTACTGATTTTCTTGTCACAAATGTATATGAGTTGCCATCCCCCCACTGTACTAATAGTATATCCTACTATAATTTCAATACCATGCTTCGTGCCCACCTCTCCAAATAGCCCACATTATATCCTACATTGCCCTGTACATGAAGAGGCACACAATTGCTAGCTTTTACAAATCTTTCTAATTGAAAGCACAGTCAATATCCTACCTCCTACAACATCAATGATCTATAAGCGATTATTTACAAAGTGAGATAATCAAAAACCATCAGTCACAAAATGAGAAGCTGTTGGGTCAATTTAAGGTCAGATTCAAAGTAGGACATGATCCAAAGAAGTGGATACAAAGATTCATTTGTAACCAAGAGCATTCAACAGTGCGAGCATGTCAGGGTTGAGATGAAGATCAATGTATTACTAAACCTATGTTGATTACAAAACTGATGAACAATATGTTAGTGGAAAGATAATCATCTCAAATAAAAACAGAATGTAGTTACTGACACAGCAAAACCACAAACAAAACGTAGATACCTTCTCGTACACAAATATGAAAGTTAAAACCATGTTCTCAGACAAAATACCAGGACTTATTGTTTCTATTTCTACAAAACAATAAGGCCAAATCACATGGGTGACCAGACAGTAGTAAAAATAGGCAGTTGACATGAGTTTTTACCTCCCACCATCCCCAACCATAGATACCGCTAGGAAGAGTCAATTCGAACCTAAGCAGAGCAGACTAGATTTGTTCATAGCAGATCTACAGGCTTCTGAAGGCACCTGAGCCATCACTTCATAGTTGTTAGCAGTTCTTTCTCTACAGAGTCCCATTAAACAGAAATGAAGTACACCAGCAATCTCCAGTCTCGGTATATGCCCACATTTAGATCAAAGTGGGACCTGAGTGCAATGGATAAACCAGAACTAAAGAAAATATTATTATGCAGGCTGTTACACACTGGAGAAGGCATTACTAGTCCTACAAAGGTAAGCAAGCAGAGTTTCACAGACGTTTTGCTTAGGACAGTGATTGACAAATTAGGAGCCATTTGTTTTTGACTGGCAGGGCTTTGTTTTCGGTGGCAGAGCTGGTCAACCGTGGATCTCTAAAAGGGGGTCACTGATAAAAGGGGACTCTGATATAATTGGGTCTCCAAAGGGGGTGGCAATATGAAGAGACTCTGACTTAATGGGTGGGGGTCTCTAAGGGGGTGCTAATATAGAGGGACTCTGATCTAATGGGGAGGTCTTTAAGGGGATGCTGATATAAAGAAACTCTGATCTAATGGGAGGATCTCTAAGGAGGGGGTGCTAAAATAAAGGCACTCTAAAGGGGGTATGTAAACGGGGGGTGCTGATATAAGGTTACCCTGATATAATTAGAGAGGTCTCTAGGGGGGGGGTGATGCTGATTTAGATATACGGGGGTGCTGATTTCTGATTAGCATCAGTCATCAGCACAACCCCCCCCCCCCCCCCCCCCCCCCCCCCCCGAGACCCATTAGCTCACAGTCCCCTTTTATCAGTGCCCCCCCCCCTTAGAGACCTCCATTAGATCATAAAGACCCCCCCCCCATATCTGCGCCCCTGCCCATAGATTGCCTTACTGGCAGGAGCAGCTGAATGCCTGTAAGTGTGTGCAACTGGGAGCCAGAGTTTGGGGCTGGAGCTTGGAAGTGGAATGGCTGCGGCTCTAGTGCTATTTTCCTTCCCTCATATACTCCTCTCAGACAGTGTCCCCCCTCCTCATACACTGTTCTTCCTCCTCTGTTCCTGTTGGTGGGGCCCCTGGGGTGTCTCCTCTTACATGGGGAGTACAGTTCGGCTAGCTCCCAGGCCCCACCTCAGACTGCCCTCCCTGCAGAGCTTGGCCAGGTCACTTTCAGCCATCAGGCAGAGCCACAGCTCACTGACGGCTCCTCCATGCACCGTTCTTGCCATCTTCCTAGCCAGCCAATGGGAGAAGATGCTGTCTCTTAGCTTGCCTCCTGATTGGGGTAGGGTGAAAAGGGAAAGGAAGCTTCGGCCAATGGGGAAGGGAGAGGCTGATAGGTTGCCCAATCATTGCTCCCCCATGCAAGGTTGGCATGTAATACACGGCCAATGGAGGAGAGAAGATGAGAAGCTGGGGTGGAGAGAGCCCGGGCTCCGGGATGCGATTTCTGGTTGCCATGGTCGACCTGGAGCCTGGGATTTGTCAACCCCTGGCTTAGGAGGGCTGGGGTAGGGGCAAGTTAGCAATAGTTCAATTAAAGACCTGTTCTTTTAAAAAGCAAGGACACTAATCTGATTGTGCTGTCTGGCTGAGGTAACTGAATCACAAGATCTGCTAAATAAAAGCTTAACTGTGGCAGGGCTAGCTGAATCAAAAGACCTTTTAAAAGAGAGGCTTACATATGGGTAAAGGCTAAGTAAAGCAGCCTTTCTCATCCAGGGTTCCTCCAGAAGTTTATAGGGGTTCCTTGAGCAATTTCTGCCTTTCAGATACGTAAATACTGACAACAATATTTTTTTCAGCTATCTGTATAGCTATCTCCCAATGACCACAAATCTAATGAGCATTCTTCCAATTGACCAGCATGCCAATGTACAATACACTGAAGATATAGTAATTATTAGCAGGGGTTCCCTGAGACTGCAAAGTTATTTCAGGGGTTCCCCATGTTGAGAAAGGTTGAAGTAATATGTGATAGAAGGACATCTGCCTGGGAATACACTGCTCCTTTGAAACAATGCAATTTTCTGAGATTGCTTGTTGAATGAGATTTATAGGAAATTATGTGATCCCCTTTATACATGGTGCCTACAGCAGCCTGGAAAGCAAAGGAAAAATGTGATCCCCTCAACTGTAAGAGCTTATATACAGACAAAACAATGAAAAATACTTCTACAACACTCCCAAGACTTCTAAACTTTCCAAAATAAGAACAATGGACATAACTATTTGATAAGTGTTCCCCCGCAGGAGGCAGGAAAACTCAACCCTTATTTATACAGCCACCAGATGGCTCAGCATGACACTAATACATTAGCAATCAGATTA